AGGGTCGTCCTCAATGGTCTCGCACATCTGGGGCCCAGGTTTTTTTTTGGATCCGGTCTGGGCTTGGATCCGTTCTGGAAAAGATCTCTGGACACTTGGCCGTGGGTCCAGGGCAGGAGTTCTGATGGTCTTGGGGTGACCCTAGGCGTGGGCTGAGCCTGGGAAGGAAATTGCCTGGGGTCAGGGCCAAGTGGGGGCCAAGCTTCTGGGGTGGGTTCATGGGGGCAGGGCCGGAACTCCTGAGGGGCTAGGGAGGCAATCCATAGAGGTTGGGGGATCGGGGCCCTAAGAGCTGCGTCACCCAATCTGGTAAAGAGGCACAGAGTTTGGGCTCGGGGTCTCCCTACCATCCAAGTTGCAACAGTAATAAGACTCTGGGATCAGTATGCGGGGAGGCCCTGGGGCTCTTGGGGTCTAAGCCTGGGCACTTGGGCTCCAAGCCTGGGCTCCTGTCGCTCAGAGGTGGCTCTTGATGGCGTCTGGGCTTCCTCTCTAGGTCCCAGAACCTTCTGGGTACCGACTGGTGATCGGGGCGGAGCAGGGGGAGGTTTGGGGAAGGATTCTCGTCTGGGCAGAGGTAACCTCTGAGTGGAGGGCAGGGGACTTGGGAGTCAGGGAGGAGCTCTGCCCCCCGGCTGACCCTACCGCCCCTCTGTCTTTCCCCAACCCCAGGAGGAGCAGCAGCGTCTGGCTGAGCTCTCCAGATCCAGCAAGCAGAACCTCTTCTTCGGTTCTCTCACCAGCCGCTTGTGGCCTCGCTCCAAACAGCCCTGACTTCCGGGCCGCCTCAAACTCAGTGCCTGGGTCCTGGGCCCCGGTGCTCCCAGACCAAGGCTTGGGCAGCCACGTGTCCAATAAAATCCATCCCAGACGCCACACTCCTGTGTCCAGAGAGTCACCGGGTGGGGGCTTCAGGGTGAGGTCTGCACCTCTTGGCCGTGGCCCCGCAGTGGCTGGCCGCCGGTCCAGCGCAGTGTGTGCCTCGCGGGTCGCGGTCACTTGTAGCCCTGGCCCGGCATCTGAACACCTGCTCTAGCTGCATCTTCTAGTGTGCTGTGTGAGCTGCGAAGAGTGTGTGTCCCTCTCCGGCCCCGCATCCCCATCTGGGGGACGGCAAAGGGAGACTGGCACTAGGTTTTTTAGAGGCAGTAGCTGCCAGGCTGCCGGGAAGTGTTGCTTCCAGAGCGGGGCCTCTGGCCGGCAGAGGTCACCCGTCCTCAAGAGGGCAGCTCTGCCCGCTGTGCCCCTGCGGGAGGGTGGGCCTAGAGTTGCTCGAATTTCTGAGTTTCAAAAGAAACCAGAATTTGGGGTTTTTATATTAAATCTCCCAACTAGTAAATACCGGCCCCTCACTGAGGCCAGCAGGCCATGTCGCGCAGCCGTGGTCCCGGGTGGGGCGGACGCCATGTTCCTCTCTGCTCCATCCACGCCAGAGCCGATGGCTACACGGGGCTCTCCAGGGCTTGAAAGTGGCCAATGTGCCTGGAACCGAATCTTAGGTATTGTTTTATGTCAAGTACTTTGACCTGAAGTGGCCACAGGGGCTGCCCGGCTCACGCCCTGGGTGGCCTAGATGCGTGTCACTCGGGAGTGTGCGTTCTGGGCCCAGCAGCTGCCTCCCGCAGTGTGAGCTGGAGTGAGTCACTTGCCCTCCTGCCTCAGTTTCCACATCTGTAAAATAATCATGGCGTCTACCTCCGAGGCAAGGCTTAAGGGTGGAGCAAGGCCCTCCTGTGGGCCCTCACGGTAGCGGCGGCAAGTTCAGGGCAGGCCTCTTTCTGCCTCATTTTCCCCGTCTGACCCTGGGGGGTGGTCGTGAGAGGTAATGGGGCACGTGTTCCCAGGCTGTTGTGTGTCCACGCGGCTCGGGCATCCACGGTTGCCTTGTTCCTCCGGCTGCCCCCCTCCCCCTGCCTCACCCCTGCCCATGCCCCCAGCTGTGCCAGCCCCTGCCATCACAGGCAGCATTTGGTGCTGGCACCAGTCCAATATTTTCCATTTAAAAGAAAGACCTCGCCTGGTGTTGTTCAATTAAAAAGTACTTGAAACAGTGTGGGCCAGATCAAACCTCTGCAGTCTAGATTTTTTTAAAAGGTTCACAGATATCTACACAGAAGAATTAGATTTCTCTGCCCCCTCCACATTGTCCGAGTCCAGAGGGTGTGGACTGCAACCCTAGGGGGTGTCTCTGACGTGTCAGTCTCCCTGGCTCAAGGACGGCCTCTGAGTGAGGCCAAGCCCGTGCCTACTTTACCTGAGTAGGTAACCAAAGCCAAGGTGAAGACCAGGACTCATGTTTGGGAACTGTGATCCTGGGGAGCCTCTCGAGTGTGTGCTAGCTTGTCTCCCTGGGTGGCACCCCTCGTCCCACCACTTTTACTGAGGAGTCAGTCTTGAAACGTGACAGCTCTGTCTACCCACAGGGCATGAGGGGAGGATTCAGGAATGGCTCCTAAGGGTAAGGCTCTGGCAGTGTGGACACACGCTAGTGCCCCGTGGACCCTCAGGCTTCTCCCCACTCCGGTGCTGAGAGGCCACACCACCTCACGGCAAGTGGCAGAAGGGAAGGAGAGGGTTGGGTCTGTGCAGGCAGCCTCTGAGACACCTCTGTGTGCCACGGCCTAGGGGGGTTTCTCAACGTGCTCTGGGCTCTAGGGCTGCACCCGAGGGGCACGATTGGGCCGCTGTTAAGAGTACCCCCATAGGGGGAGATTTTCCATCACCCGCCACACCTGCCAGCCTTGTGGTGCTGGGCCAGATCTGGGACATCTGTCTCCATAAGAGGGGAGCGCCTCTGTCATGCGCGCAAAGCTCTGGACCGCCAGACTCATTGTACGCACTTGGGTTCAGCAGTGATAGGAGAAAAAAGGCTCTGCCCTAATGCTAATACTTCTACGGAGGTGGGCAATGCTGGTGGTGGTAAACGCAGAAAAAGTGTGATAAGAGGAGGTGTGACTTGGGAAGTCAGGTGCTATTTTAGATTGGATGGGACGGTCAGGGCCTCCCAGCTTTGGAGATGTGTTTGAGCAGAGACCAGGATCAAAGGCGAGAATAAGCCATGGGGGGAACCTTTGAGTGTGCCAGGTACCTCAGGGCCTCTGCCCTTGCTCTTCTCTGCCAGGAATGTTTTTTCCCCAGGATCCCTATCTCCTTCCTCCCCTCCTCTAGGTCGCTGCTCTTCTCAGCGTGGTGTCTGAGATTGGCATGTGAGAAATCCTGAGTTGCCAAAAAGACAGGTGGCAGTTCCTTAAATTAAGTGTCACACATAGGGCCTCCCCCGTGGCAGAGCGGTTGAGCGCTGGGTTGGGAAGCTGCCAGCAGCCTCTGCAGCGCCGGTTCGATTCCCGGCCACCAGGTGATAGTCCCACATGGCACGCAGACCTCTCCTGCCACCTGCTGCTCCCCTCAGCAGTGTACTTCGGTCCTTCTGCCTGTTCTGCTCCCCGCTCTGGCTCTGGTGAATTCTCTCACCCTCCCCCCCCCCCGCGCTTCTGACTGTACCCAGTGCTTGTATAAATAAATAAATCATTTTTTTAAAAAAAAAGAGTGTCACACATAGATGGAGACCCTATGGGTCAGAGTGGTGAGGGTTAGGATAGAGGGACCAGGGGTCTGTGGGAACTCAGGGAAGGTGTGTCCAGCCCCCCCCCCTTGGGCAGCGGTAGTGAGGTGAAGTCTGAATGGTGAAAATGGAATTAAAGAAGAGCGAGGAACGAATAACCAGTAGACGTGACTACAGTAGAGCCTGGGGTGTTGGGACACTCAGAAATTTATTCTCGGGAATAAAAGGAAACTCTTGAAATCTTTATTCAAAACTCCGGATCACTTGCCATGTGCGGGGCTCTGCCGGGCTGTGTCGAGTAGTTATTCTTCCAAAAGAGAAGGATTTTACATACACGCACACACGGGCCCATCATCACTATTAACTGCTAAATAGCGATTTGTATGGGGCGGGGCACGGTCCCCACGGGCTTGCACGGAGGAAATGATGACGACCACGGCCTGAGCATCTGTTGTCCTCGCCGTGGCCCTGGAACAGGGAGGGCTCCCGGAGCGCGTGGGGGGAACCCCTCCCCCGTTCATCCTGGAGGCAGGGAGCAGGGCCCTGCCAGACCGAACTTCCTGCCCATTTGCTCCTCACACCTTCCGGAGACCAAACGGGGGCCCGGCTGAGGCACCGAGGGGGAGGGGGGCGCCGCCCGGCAGATGGCGGCATTTACATACAGCTGGGCGCCCCGCTCCCCGCGGCCCGCGCCCGGGCGTCTGCAGCGCCGGCGATGCGGGGCTGGGGAGGGCGGCTTTGTTTGGGGGGAGAAAACACACCAGCACACACACTCAGGGCCCCCCGAGACCCCAGATCTTCATGGTGTCCACACGCGGCTGCCCCCGGGGACCGCCTCCGCGAGATCCGCACACTCGCGCCCCGAGTCGGCCCCACCTGGAAGGGCCGCCCCCGCGCACGCCCGCGGCACCTGCACAGACGCCGAGGCACGGCTTCGCGCCCCTGCGCTCGGGCCCAGGAGCTCAGGTAGACGCTTCCCAGGCGCCTCCCGCCGCGCGCCGGCCGTGCCCCCCTCGCCGCTCCGGGGCAGGGGCTGCGCGCGCTCCGCCGCAGGACGCTCGCGCACGGGCTTCTGCACTTACACCTTCCTGCACTCGCGGGGTCCCACGATCTCGCCGGCTCGCACGCCCTCCCCCCAGACGCGCTCGCTCGCGGCCACGCACACGCTCACGGATCCGAACCCGCACAACCTCACCCCGGCTCAGCCCCCGGCGCCCCCAGCTGCCGCCAGCGTCGAGCCGCAGCCACACGCGCCATCAGACCCTCACCCTCGCCCTGCCGTGCCCCTGACCCAGCCGACTCCTGCGCGCTCCCCTTCCCCCGCGACCCCCTCCCCAGGGTCCCCCAGAGCCGGTCCCTGCCTGAAGGGGCGGGGCCGTCCCCTCACAATATAAGGCTTCGGAGCCGGCAGCTGCGGTTTTCCAGACCCCGAAAGGCCATGGTTGCGCCGCCGATGCCCCAACTCCTGTCCCAGACGGTGATCCTGGCGCTAATTTTCCTTCCGCAGGTCAGAGCCGGAGTGGAAGGGGTGGGGGGTGGAAGGGAGGGAGGCGGCGAGACTCGGGGGTCCTGGGGAGGGGTTCCCGGCTGACGGACGCCCCGGGTCCCGCGGCTCCCTCACGCCTGTGCCCTTTCCCCCCCAGGCGCAGCCGGCCGGCGTCTTCGAGCTGCAGATCCTCTCTTTCCGGCCCGCGCCAGGCCCGGGTACCCCAAGGTCCCCCTGCAGCGCCCGCAGTCCCTGCCGCCTTTTCTTTAGGGTCTGCCTGAAGCCCGGGGTCTCCGAAGAGGCCGCCGAGTCTCCGTGCGCCCTGGGCGCGGCGCTTAGCGCGCCCGGACCGGTCTACACGGAGTTGCCCAGGGGCCCCGCGCCTGGCCTGCCGCTGCCCGACGGGCTCGTGCGCGTTCCCTTCCGGGACGCCTGGCCGGTAAGACCCGGCCCCGGGGCAGCGCCGGGCGGGCGCCGTACCCAAGCCTCGGCCGCTCTCTGCCCTCAACTTCCACGACCCTGAGCCAGGCTGCCCCCTGCTGGACTCGTCTCCCTAGACTAGTTGCGTTCCCGTACGCTCCACCCCGGGAACTCTCATTTTCTGGTTCAACCTGCTTTCCCGAAATGTTCCGAGCAGAGCCCCGCACGCGTGGAGCCCCACGTCCCGAGCCCTTGCACCGTCCGGAAGTCTTAACATCTCAGAATCCTCCTTCAGTGCTTAAATCCTGGGGTCCTCGTCCTTAGCCGCCATCTCCGTGCGCCTAGGGAAGCCTCTCCTACCTGCCAGCGACCCCACGTCCTCTTACCCCTTCTCAGTTCTTCCATTTGGGGCTTTAGCCAAAGCTCTCACGTCCAGCCCGGGGCCCTAAAGCATAGATGTGGACAGAGCTGTACTGGAATTCTAGATCGTTGGCCCTTCGGGCAATTACTTTCCCTTTTCTTTTTTTTTTTTAATTAATTAATTTATTTATGCAAGCACTGGGCACAGTCAGAAGCGCGGGAGGGTGAGAGAATTCACCAGAGCCAGAGCAGGGAGCAGAGCAGGCAGAAGGACCGAAGGACACTGCTGAGGGGAGCAGCGGGCGGCAGGAGAGGTCTGCGCGCCATGTGGGACCCTCCTCCGGTGGCCGGGGAGCAGCCGGGGATCGAACCGGCGCCGCAGAGGCCGCGGGCAGCTTCGCAACCCAGCGCTCAACCGCTGAGCCACCGGGGAGGCCCTCTTTTCTTTCCCTTTTTTTTTTTTTTAAGATTAATTTATTTATGCATACAAGAGCTGCGGTGCAGCCCAGAGGAGTAGGGTGTGTGTGTGTGTGTGTGTGTGTGTGTGTGTGTGTGTAACAGGGTCCACTAGAGACAGAGTGGGGAGCAGAGCAGGCAGACCTATTGAAATACACCCCTGAGGGGAGAGTCAGGAGAGGTCTGCTGCACCATGTGGGTAGCTCCCTGGCGCGGGATCAAACTGGTGCTGCGGAGGCTGCGGACAGCTTCACAGTGCTGAGACTTAACCAGGGAGGCTCCACTTTCCCATTTCTAGCCTCAGTTTCTTTCTCTGTAAAGCAGGAATGAGCAGGGGAGCTCACAGGCCTCGGGGGTTACAGCAGGTATTTTGAAGGAGTGTTTCCCACATGGCAAGTGCTCAGAGCGCTCGACCATGGGAGTAAAGAACATTCTTCCTTCCTGCCCTGGGCCAGTCCCCCTGGGAGTTGTCCCTGGCCTGCCTGCCCCCCACAGTCCATTCTCTCCTCTCTCCGTCCTGCATCCATCCAGGCCACCTTCTCGCTCATCCTGGAAACCTGGAGAGAGGAGTTAGCAGAAGAGAACAGGGGTGAGTGGCTTCAACTCTGGGCTCTCCAGGGAGCTGCGACCTGATGCCAGGTCCAGGAGGGTAACTCGGGGCTGTCTGCCCTGCGGGGGGTTCCCCGCGTTGCTGGGAGCTCCGAGTCACCGAGCTCCTCGAGGGTGGTGATGCAGCCCGGGGCTCCTGGCGTCTCAGCGCGGACACCCCCGGCCCTGCCCTTCCCAGCACGTCAGAGGACCCCGCCCGCCCCGGGACTCGAGACTGGGCGTCTGGGCCGGGCGAGGATGCCCGCCGGAGGGCTCCGTCTCCACCGCGAATCCGAGTCCCACGCGCGGGCCTTCTCCCTGCAGGGCCCGCCTGGAGCCTGCTGGCGCGCGTGGCCGGACGGCGCCGCCTGGCGGCCGGGGGCCCCTGGGCCCGGGACGTGCAGCGCGCAGGCGCCTGGGAGCTGCGCTTCTCCTACCGCGCGCGCTGCGAGCCGCCCGCCGTCGGGGCCGCGTGTGCGCGCCTGTGCCGCTCGCGCGGCGGCCCCTCGGGGTGCGTCCCGGGGCGGCGTCCCTGCGCCCCGGTGGAAGACGACTGCGAGGCGCCTCGTGAGTCTTGCGTTCATTCATCCCCTTAGCTGCACTCCCGGCCCCCCGCCCCTGTCATGGCCTAGGCACCCTCTGCAGGAAACCGGGGTCCCCAGGGTCCGTTCCAAGTACTCCTGATACCCCTCTCCAGGGAGCCGGGACAGGCCCCTGCCGCTGACAGTGCCCTGCTCCCGCTCCACTCAGTCCTCAGCTCCCTGCAGTGTCCAGCCACGGATTTCAGGGATACTGGGGGCCCGGCCCCTGCGGAGCTGTCATCAGCGTCCTGAGTCACTTCCCACGTTCCAGCTTTTGGGGAAACTGAGTGCCCTAATCTTACCTCCAGGCTTTCCTGGGTTTTCTGACTCTGTTCTTCCCAGCACTCTTGTCGCCCCTAATGTGTACCTGAAACCCAGTGCATTTGTTCCCAGTTCCTTCCTTAACCCATATTCACGCACCTTTCCAGTTAGTAGGACCCCCAAAGTGGTTGAAAGTCTGGGGTCCTGTCTACCCCACCGGCGAGCTTTGAGAATTGATCCCAATGCCACCTCTCCCTTCAGGCATCCTTCCTCTCCGTCTGTGTCCTTGCACACCAGGTCAGGTCCCTTTGCTTTCTAACACTGGAGATCCCCGACTTACACCCTCCCCAGATTTCTGAAGCCCTCAGAAGCTCCTAGGAATCCCAGACTTATCCTCCAAACCCTGCACTAATGCAACTCCACCCCCACCCCCACACCCCGACAGGGCAAGTGTCACACTCTTCCCCATGGCTGGTCCCCTTCCTTCAGTCTCTTCTCTCCAAACTCTGACCTGCAGCCCCTCATTAGCCCCCCCCCCATTCCACTGTCTTCGCACTCACATACACACAGAGACGCCGGGACCCAGTGGCCTGGGTTCACTTGGTCGCTGCTCTACTTCCTGGCTGGGCGAGTCCCCCCTAGGCCCCAGTTTCCCTGTGTGTGAGGGGGAGGTGGCAGAACCATCTAGCGCAGAGGGTGATCTGTCACGAGCCTGAAGCAGGGTGAAGCGCAGAAAGTGCTCAGAAACTTCTGTGCTCCTGACCCCATGACAGCCCCTCATCTACTCTCTTCCCTCCGCCTCCCACACAGCGGCGTGCCGAGCCGGCTGCAGCCCAGAGCATGGCTTCTGTGAGCAGCCCGATGAGTGTCAATGTCTGCTCGGCTGGACCGGGCCCCTCTGCACCGTCCCTGTGTCCACCAGCAGCTGCCTCAGCCCCCAGGGCCCATCCTCGGCCAACACCGGATGCCTCGTACCCGGGCCTGGGCCCTGTGACGGGAACCCCTGCGCCAACGGGGGCAGCTGCAGTGTCAGTATCTCCCCTTCCCACCTCATCCCGAGCATTCCTTTCTGGGGTTCCCACCGTTCCCTGTATCCCCATGATACAGCTTGGGGATGGTTGGGGAAGCTGTCAGGGAGGGCTTCCTGGAGGTGGGGAAGCTGTCAGGGAGGGCTTCCTGGAGGTGGGGAAGCTGTCAGGGAGGGCTTCCTGGAGGTGTCCAGCTTGCTTCTGGGACTTTGAAATAGGATTAGGTGATGGGAAGGGGAGCGGGTGGCACTGTAGAGTTGTGGGAATGGGAACGAGGAGATCAGGAGGAAGCTCTGTGGCGGCCTGAGGAACAGGATCAAGTTAGGACGTGGTTGTTTGGATGGAATTTGGAAGGGTAGATCAGATGGGCAGCGTATGTCAGGCAGATGTGGGCACAGGGTCGTGCCCACATGCCCTCCATAGCCTCCTCCCTGTGGGGTTGGATGGGCAGACCCGGAAGCACAGGGAGGATCCAAGGGCTGTCAGGGAGGACTGTGCAGGTGAGGCTGTGCAAGCTGAGGTGAGAGATGGTGGGGAGTCTCCACTAGGGGTCAAAGGTGATGCACGGGTTGGAATGGTCCTGCAAGGAGATCCCGATCCAAAGTCCCATGTGCCCCTGTGCAGGAGACCCCTGGGTCCTTCGAGTGCGCCTGTCCCCGGGGGTTCTATGGGTTACGATGCGAGGTGAGCGGGGTGACGTGTGCGGATGGACCTTGCTTCAATGGCGGCTTGTGCGTGGGAGGTGCGGACCCCGACTCTGCCTACATCTGCCACTGCCCGCCTGGCTTCCAAGGCTCCAACTGTGAGAAGAGGGTGGACCGGTGCAGCCTGCGGCCATGCCAGAACGGTGAGGTGGGGGGCAGAGTGGGGATGCCCCGGCAAAGGGGTCCCGCATGGCCCAGTGGGCAAGGGTAGGCCTGGGTGGGAACCCTGACTTTGTCTCCGCCAGCACCGTGGCCTCCCGCTCTGCCTAGCCTCAGTCTGTCATGTGAAATGGGGATGGGGATCGGCATGGCCGTCCCCTGTTTATGGCATATGTAACGTGTGCCAGGCCTTGTTGCAGGTACTGGGGTACATCAAGGCATGAAATGTACAAGAAGCCCTGCCCTTGCAGAGCTGAGGGGATGGGGCAGGCAGTGAACAAGATAAGATAAATGAGCACTAAGTGAAGCATAGGGAAGGTGAGATGCCGATACAAACCAAGACGAAGAAGTGTGAAGGGGCTGGGGAGCATGTATGGGGGTGCCTGGTTGACGCTGCAGCTACAGTGGTCAGGGAAGATCTTGCTGAAGATGGGGAGACAGGTGGGTTGGGTCTCGGGGGGAGCAAGTGCAGACACCCTGAAGTAGGAATGTGCTTTGCGTGTGGTTGGAGCAGAGCGCGAGGGAGAGTGGTGAAGAATGAGGTCAGCGAGATGACCAAGACAGATCCTGCGGGAGGCGACTTTGTGGGTGAGATGGAGCCTTAGGAGCTATCTGAGCAATGGAGGCCAGAGCAGAGAAATCATCAGAGAAGACAAAGAGCACAAAGGGCTTGTAATTGTCCCCACAGCACTCACGAGTAGTGGTTCTAGGGACACAGCAGCGAGCAGGACAGCTGTGGGCTGCACCTCACGGGACCTGTCTTTAGAGTTCAGAGCGGTTCGGGTTCAGGGAGTGCTGGGCTGGGCTGGAGGAAGTATCAGGGAGGGCTTCCTGGAGGAGAGGGCACATCTGAGCACAGACCTTCCTGCATTGAGAAGCTGGGCAGAGAAAAGGTGAAAAGGATGGAGGAAAAGGAGGAAGTGAAAAGCGTGGGGCGTCTCAGGCATGCGGCGAGCTGGGGTGCCGGGTGCCTGAAACCCATCAACCTTCTGGACCCGCTGATTCTCGAAGAGAAGTGCATCGGCAGCAGCGGGGAGGGCGGGCGGGAGACGCAGACTCAAGCAGGGGAGGCTGATGTCACCCAAATCGCCACGGACCCCGAGAACCCGGGCGCTTTCCAGGCTCATTGCAGGCAGCTGCCCTTGCGTTCAGGTGGGCGGGGTCCACAGGGCCGAGCTACACAAACGCGGGCGGGCTCGGGGGGCCCCTTTCTTCACGGCTGCACCCCTGACGCCCCGTTCCCCACAGGCGGGCTGTGCCTGGACTTGGGCCACGCCCTGCGGTGCCGCTGCCGCGCGGGCTTCGCGGGTCCGCGCTGCGAGCACGACCTGGACGACTGCGCCGGCCGCGCCTGCGCCAACGGGGGCACGTGCCTGGAGGGCGGGGGCGCGCGCCGCTGCTCCTGCGCGCTGGGCTTCGGCGGCCGCGACTGCCGGGAGCGCGCAGACCCGTGCGCCGCGCGCCCCTGCGCCCACGGCGGCCGCTGCTACGCGCACTTCTCCGGCCTCGTGTGCGCCTGCGCGCCGGGCTACATGGGCGCGCGCTGCGAGTTCCCGGTGCGCCCGGGCGCCGGCGCCGGCGCGTTGCCGGAAGCGCCGCGGCGCCCGCGGCCCGGGGACCCTCGGCGCTGGCTGGTGCCGCCGGCGCTGGGGCTGCTGGTGGCCGCGGGCTTGGCCGGCGCCGCGCTCCTGCTGGTCCACGCGCGACGCCGCGGCCCCGGCCGGGATGCCGGGCCTCGCTTGCTGGCGGAGACCCCGGAGCCGTCGGTCCACGCCCCCCCGGATGCGCTCAACAACCTGCGGACGCCGGAGCGACCCGGGGACGGCCCCAGGTGAGGGTGGGGCCGCGGTGACCCGAGGGCGGGTGGCCCGCGCCACCCCCCCTTTGCTGCTGGCGTCGTTGCACCCCTCGTCGGCTTGGGGTTCCCTCCCTTGCGTCTGGGGGTCGAGCGCCGGGTGTGAGAATTCGGAGTCTGCATCTTGGTCTTTCCTCCCGCAGCGCGGTGGCCGACTGGAACCCCCCCGAAGGCGGAGGCGCGCGCGCGCCCCTCGAGCTGTCAGCGCCGCCCGTCTGCGCTCGGGAGGTAGCCACCCCGTCGGCGCGCCGGGTCCCCGACCCCGAGCGTGCGGGCCCCCGGGGCCCAGGCGGCCGCAGCTTCCCAGGGCGCCCGCCGCCTCTGTCATGGGCAGGGCAGAGTCTCTGCGAGAGCCGCGGCCCCATCTTTGCGCCGATCTCTCCCTCCCTGCTGCGCGCTGCCTCCTCGTGGGCAGCCCTGTCGTCCCCAAGAGGTCGTGGGGCGCCTCGGCCCGCGCTCGTCGGGTGTCCACTGCGCGGGGAAAGGGAGCGGAGGTGCGGGGGCAGCCTGCGCTAACGCCCGCTCCGTCTGCTTTCCAGGCCTGACCCGCCCCGTCGGCAGAGCCTGGAGGTTTCTGCCTGTTCTCGGTGGTGCCTGAGCGCTCCCTGCGGACACTCGGGAGGCGGCGCGGAAGGAGTGGCTTCCAGCCTCCCCACCCTGCTGCCAGGATCCCCTCGGGCTGAGCGCTTTGGAGTCGGAGTCGGGCGGGGTGCAGGGTTTTTGGGTGCAGAGGAGAAGAATGGACTCGTGCCGCAGGGGCGCGCAGCCTCTCATTGTATGTAAATAGATGGGAATTAAAGTGGAGAATGGGAAGGGCGCTGGAGCCGCAGCGGGGTGAGTGTCTTTCCGAGGAGCTCTAATTCTCCCAGGCCACCCACGGCTGAGGGCTGAGCGCCGTCAGCCCCGTGGCGGCAGAGAGTCGGCACTGAAGCCAGTGCCCAGAAGGAAAATTGGGAAAAACCAAGGATGTTGGGTTGAGATGTTGGTGGTGTGACTGCATCACACAGGTCACTCCCCCTCCCGTCTGTTGCGTGTATTTTTTTAAAGATTGATTGATTGATACATACAAGCACTGGGTACAGTCAGAAGCGCCAGAGCGGGGAGCAGAGCAGGAGGCTGAGGAAACACTCTGCTGAGGGGAGCAGCGGGCGTGGCAGGAGCGCGCCTTGTGGGACCGTTGCCCGCGCCTGGGATGGAACCGGCGCTGCAGAGGCTGCAGGAAGCTTCGCATCCCAGCGCTCAATCGCTGCGCCAGCGGGGAGGCCCTGGTGCGGTCATTTTTTCATCTGTCAAATGAGATAATAACAGGCCCAGCCTCAGAAAGATCTGGGCAGCGCAGGAGTGAGTGCAGAGCGGGCAGGCAGTCAGGAAACGTCGGTGCTCCACACTCTCTTGAAAGAAAGCCCGTGTTCATGTTACCCGGGCAAACTGAAGCTCAGAGAGAAGATACTTGCCCAGCATCACCCAGCAGAGTGGGCAACTTTGTTGATGGTCTTGATGTTGGGGTTCTGCCTGCAGGGTCCTTGGGTTATCTGTGAGAAAATTTTCGGCGGAGTTCCTATTTTAGCGTCGTTTGCTTGCTGGGTTTGCCCAGAAGAGAAAGATGTTTGTTCTGTCCGGGAAGGTTGGGTGTAGGAGAAAAAGGGAGGAGAGGGCCTCCCCGGTGGCGCAGCGGTTGAGCGCTGGGTTGCAAAGCTGCCCGCAGCCTGCAGCGCCGGTTCAATCCCCGGCTGCTCCCCGGCCACCGGAGGAGGGTCCCACATGGCGCGCAGACCTCTCCTGCCACCCGCTGCTCCCCTCAGCAGTGTACTTCGGTCCTTCTGCCTGCTCTGCTCCCCGCTCTGGCTCTGGTGAATTCTCTCACCCTCCCGCGCTTCTGACTGTACCTAGTGCTTGTATAAATAAATAAATAAATCTTTAAAAAAAAAAAAGAGAAAAAGAAAAAGGGAGGAGACGTGTGCAGAGAAACCAGCGGGCACAAGAGCTGTCTCTTGCCAGTGTGAAGAGTCTGGCGATGAAGTGTCCTTTTGGAGACTTGGGTCCAAGTCAGGGTTCCGGCGGGGTTGGGAGGCCCGGGGAATGTGTCATCTGCTCACAACCCATCCGTGACGCCCCAGGAGGTCTGTCCTGGACCTGAACCATGGGCCTCATGGCCGAAATGATCCTGGCGTTGAGGCCAGCTCTGTGATGACATGAGATGCTGTTAGTGGGGTGAAAGTTGCACAGATGCTTTGTAATATTTTCTTGAGGGGCTTTATGTGGTCAGGCATTTCACCATTCAAAGGCAGATTGTTACCAAGCACCTACTGTGTGGCAGGTCTCCCGTAGGAAGTGGGGTCAGCATGGAGGGCGCCTGTGTGGGAAAGCCCTCTGCAGGGAGTTGGCAGTGTTGTTCCCCCGCCCATGCCCCCTACCTGCCCACAGCCCCGCTGGAGATGGATCGCCTTTCCGGTGGGTCTCGGTTTATGTATTGGAGCTGATCAGTGATAGCTGGAGTCACACAGTTTGCACACCCAATGCTTGTGGTTAACCAGAGTCAGTTTATTACCAGCATTCATGAAACCAGACCCCGTGTAAGAGTAGGCCTGGGAATATGTATGGCCTCGCCCAGACAGTGTTTAGCCTGCCCTGGTGAGTAGAGGACCAGGACTTGAATCCAGCACTGCCCCTTGCTGGCTGTGGGCACAGGACATCAGTGTACACGGTGGTGCTGCTCTAGGGCCCTCTGTCAGGCTCTAGACGCCCTCCTCTTATTGCCCAGACTGGGTCTTGATCCCCTTCTGTGGCCCTGTAGGTTCCTGAGTGCTCGCACCGTGTCTGCCCCCGCCCCTTCTAGTCCTGAGCCCACTGCCCTGGTTGTGTAGGCTCGGGCATGTCCTCCCAGCGCCTCAGGAGAGGGTTCCTCTTCCCTACGCTGTGCCAGGTGACACAGTGCCAGGGCAGCGCACAGCAGGACTCGGTGACCACGCGCCGAGCCGTGGCGTGGGAGCGTCGCTGAGCCGTGTGTGACGGCCCAGGCGGGCTGTGAGTGTGACGGGCGCGGAGGGAGCGGCATGTGCGCCCAGGGGTCCTGTCCTGTCCCCACTGCCAGCTGTGAGCCTTGGAACCCGGGCCGCGCGTGGAACCCCATGTAACAGTGCCTCCTTGTGGGCACCTCCTATTTAGAACCCCGATGCCGGGGAGGCCTCCCTAGGCAAGGGAGGGAGGGGCGGGTCCCAAATCGGGGTCCCCAGGGTCCCCCTACCCCTGCCTCCTATGAAAAACCAGGGTCGACCCCCAGCCCGTATCCCGGCCCCAGTCCGGACTTCCATCCCAGCTCGGACCCGCACCCCGGGGTTGACGCCAAATCGGTCGGGGGTTCCCACTGTCTTGGGGGCCCGTGCTCGGGTGCAGACCCCTACACCAGTGCGGACCCAAATTCCGGTCCGAGTTCCAATGACAGTTCGGACCCTGACTCAGGTTCCGACCGCGACGGCAGCGCGGTCGCCTCTTGCAGTGCGGACCCCGGGTTCAGTGGCCCCCGGGGCAGCAGCCCCGTCTCCCATTTCACTGCGGGCCCCGACTTCACTGCCCACGGCGGCTGCAGCCCGGGCTCCTTTTACAGTCCGGACCCCAACCTCAGTGCCCCCCGGGCCGCCGCGCGGGCTCCTATTTCAGTGCGGGCCCCGACTTCTGTACCGACCGGGGCTGCAGCCCGGGCTCCTGTTGTGGTCCCGACCCCCACGTCAGTGCCCCCGGGGCAGCCGCCCGGGCTCCTATTTCAGTGCGGGCCCCGACCTCAGTGCCCCCCAGGGCCGCAGCGCGGGCTCCTATTTCAGTGCGGGCCCCGACTTCTTTACCAACGGGGGCTGCAGCCCGGCTCCAGTTGTGGTCCCGACCCCCACGTCAGTGCCCCCCGGGGCAGCCTCGCGGTCTCCCATTTCAGTGCGGGCCCCGACCTCAGTGCCCCCCAGGGCAGCTGCCCGGGCTCCCATTTCAGTGCGGGCCCCGACTTCTTTGCCGATGGGGGCTGCAGCCCGGCCTGCTGTGGCGGTCCCAGTCCGCTTCCCGACGGTGGCTTGGATCGTGGCCCAAAGTCCTACCAGACCCGCAGGCGCTCCCTCGACCCCGGCCTCGGCCACCCCCTTGGAGTCCCTGTCGAGCGGGAATGTCCCCGCAGGCCTTCCTCCCCAGAGTCCTCCGGGGGCCACGGTTGCCCCTGGGCAGGAGTCTGTGCCTGGGGTGCAGGAGATCCCGCCCTTTGCGGGCACCGTGTCGGGGTCGGGCACAGAGCCCTTTCCTGTGCCCATGGCCGTGGTGCCCGAGCTCCTCGGGGCGGCCTTGCTGCGCTCCTCCAGTTCGGCCGGGTCCCGGGCGTCCGTGCCGGAAACGGCATCGCTGGCTGCGCTGCCTGCGGGTGCCCCGAGCAGCACCTACCTGGATGCGAAGAAGATCCAGATTAGAGTGGTGTATTGGTGAGGAGGGGAGGGGGGAGGGGGGAGGAGAGGAGAGGAGGAGGGGAGGAGGAGGAGGGGAGGAGGAGGGGAGGGAGGAGGAGGGAAGGAGGAGGAGGG